CTTCTTGACCATCCCAAGCAATCTCAGCATATGCAACATGCTCGATAAAAGACAAAAAAGACTCAAACTCTTCAACTGTTCCCAAATACATCTACATCTTCCTTTCTAGTATGGTATTTTAGTAGTGAAAAAAATAATACCAAGACACAACAGACTAAAAAACACTTATTTAATTTCACCGTTGACCAGTTTTTCCCTCTTGTGCAGCACAAATACAAATGGAGCTTAATCGTGATTATTAGGAATTAAGCATTTGTTTTTGTTTTTGTAAAATGGAGCAGATGGAGAAACACCCCACTAGATTTAGGACTGAGTTTGTGGTTGGTCTGCCATCTGCAGATTGCTTTACACTTGTGGCACACATTCAAATCTTCACATTACCTGAACTACTTCTCCTACTATCAGTGATGGTGTTTGATCCCCCATGCTTCAGCAGCTTATGTAACCATTATGAAAGACGTTAAATCTTCATGGTCGGGCCTCATTATTACCCTAGGTCCTTTCATATCATTCTCTGTTCTTTAAAATGTTTGAAGTTTGCCTGAGGCTTTAGATATTCTTGCCAGCACACACTCCAAGTGGCCCATTCTTGTCACTGAGCCAGCAAGAGCTCATTAAAGCCGAAGGCTGACAAACAACATTGAGCAGAGAAAGTCGATACTTACATTGTAAGTGCCACTGAACTAAGTCTTGTTTTCTACACTAATGTGTGCTGGTCTACCACAAGCAATGGTGAAAATTAAACTGACCACTTTGGCAAAAATAACTGTTAAGTTGCATTCTAGAGACCAAATAGTACAGTTAATAATGTTCAAACCTAGCCAAAGTTTATCGTTCAAATGCATCGTGTAACTATTATGTAAAAGCAGGAATATAGAGTGTACATGTCAACATTGAAATTGGTTGTAATCAGCAATTTTTCAGCATTTCGAACCCTTGTTGTGAGCATACGGGTGACAGAAGAAAATGTTGGATGGATTTTTTTTTTCTCTGCTTGCTGAGCAAAACAAAACAGAGTTTATGTTTTATACCTGTGTAGCTTTGCTGAACAGGTTTTGTTCCTTTCTGGATTTATGGAACTGTATTTTATTACAGTTCACCCTGTGGCACATTAGTTAAACTTAATATAAAACAACGGCTCAAATGCTTGCAGTGAAAATGTAATGTGCGATACTGAGGAAAACAGTCCTCCTACAATGGTAACTATCTGCTTTACAAATGACTTAGTCATCGGATTAGGCACTGTTTGTCATTTATTAGCATGGCATTAATCCAAAACTTATCGAATCAAACCCGTTTCCTTCTGTAAATGAAATGTTGAAACAGGGCTGGACTGAAGCAGGCATTTCTGCATCTTACGCTGCAACATGCAGCCTTTAATATTTTCTGTAATATTATTTGTTAAAAAAAGAAGAAAGGCAGTCGTAGAATGAACCCACTGCATTCATATTTAGTTGGTACGAATTTCACTTTGGTACCAACATTCACTTATTAACATGCAACCTTCGCGACCTGTGGTGATTGAATGATGGACAATCTAAGGGATAAAGATAAGAGTCTAAAAATCTCACGCATGAGAAAACTGATACATTAATTGCTATTGGATTTGGGTGTTGAGTTCAATAACTTGGATAACTTGTGGTTAAATAAGACTCATAATAATCCATTGTCCCTGAGGCTGTGTCAAAGGAAGGCCCATTAGTTGTTCACGTGCGAGTGATACGTGGATAAACAAGCACGCACGCACACACGCAGGCATACACACACACACACACATACACACACACACACACAGGATCAGGTCTAGCCAACAAGTCAGGGTGGTCAGTAATTACAAGCAGATGTTAACCTAGGGGAGGTTCCAGGTCAGTGAAAGCAATGTATTATTATTGTATGGTATATACAAGCCAACCTGTAAAAGATAGGAAAATGAAGCCAGTACTGAAATGTACCTCTGCCCTCCACCAGTTCAGAACTGTGGCACAAATTTCTGCTCAAGGGTAATAGAAAACACTGAAGGGTAAGAAAACAAGCCAAAAGTACAATGTGAAATATTTTAAAACTGTGCTTTGGCTCTCTCTGTTGTTGATCACCTCTGGTGTCTTCCTGGACTGTTTCAATATGTCGTCCTTGATTGTGTAACAGTTTAAGAAAAGCTATTACATGGGTGACTATGATATTTAAAACTATGATATCTAAAACTGTGCGTCACAACTCCCCTTTTAGAAATATTGAAAAGTGGAAAGCATCACATCCAACATGATATTTCATATTAAGCTCTACAGATTGGCAAAAAAAGCCTAATGTCAAGACTATTCTCTTGAAAAAAGAGCTTTAACCCTTTTTTGATAGACAAAGGAAAACCTAATTCAATTTTAGAGCTAGTCTTATATAGCTTAAGGGAAGTTTACAGTCTAAACACAACTCGATTATTATTGAAAGGAAATTTTCTCACCCCAGAAAGAGAACAAAGAAAAACTAAACTACTAGACTGATAAAGATGTGGTACACCGATTCAATTTCATATGAGAAATATACAAAGTGATGAGTATCTGATACAGTGTGAAACTACACAAAAGTATACCGCAAAAGGGACTGAACAAGCTGGACTTGTGGAGGGCTATAAAGATTTTCATTGTGTTAATTTGTCAAACCAGTGGATTAAGACTTTGTCACACATGGGTGAGAATTCCACATTGTCTTTGTTTACTTTTAAAGTCCTGCTGAAAATCGGTGGTGATTAACAGAGCTTTTGTAAAATAAGTGCACATTTATGGCAACAGTTTTAACACAGATATTAAAAACTAATACAGATCAGACAATTAAACAAATGGGACTAAATTGTTCTTTTGAGATCTGAGATTTGTTACAAGGAACACCTTTGTTCACCCTTATCCCGTTTGTTTCTATCTATCAGTGGAATTGCTTTGAAATTTTTGTCAAGTTCAGTATTGGTAATGTCATTACGTATTGCTGCAGGTAATGCATAAGTGCACATAGTCCAGAGGACACGATAGTGCTTACTAAATTCTTATGTTGAAATGCACATTTGCAAAGATAAACACAATGCATCATAGCAACTGCCGTCAAGCTCATGTGCCTTGTAACTCTGTATTTCCATGGAAATATTTCTCCACCTTCCGGGCTATTTTGATTTTTGTACACACACACATATATATATGTAAATGTGTGTGTGTGCGTGTTACCATGGAGTCTGACATGTTCTTCTGCACCATTTGTCCTTTTGTCTGAAATAGAACAGAAACCACATGCTGCACTTCAACTGTACTGTGTGTCCAGATGGCATTAGTCATCTAACTACATGGAGCGGGTGCAGTCAGAGTCATTCATCTTTCCTCTCAAATGTCTGTCAGATGTGGGCACAGTAACACAGCAACAATGACAGCTTAATTTCTTGCAAAAGCCAACCCTTTTAAAAGGCTCTGTTTTCAGGGCTTAAATAATAATAATTTCTGTGACATTCTTGAAACTTTCTGCCGTAAGTCTGGTGAAGTTGTGAAGCTTTGCTAAACTCGACAAACACATTGTAGGTGAAAGGCAATCCAAGTCCTATTCTTAAAGTGCTCGTCAGGTAATATTAACGGAGTTTAGGTTCACCTTATGCTGTTTAAACTCAGTGTTTTCTTTAGTAGCAGAAAAGTTTGAAATTCTAATTCGAGTTGATGCAAAGTGGCTTGACATCTGCAGCATAAAGAGTGTGTGAATGAATGTACGTGCATAATGGGAATAATTTGCTCTGATCTCAACAGACAAATAAACATAGAAACACATTATAACACACTTATATGGAAAATAAACAAGCCACAACCCAGAGGAATGAGACGGAGCAATGGCAGAAAACGTGCGAGACAAATGACAGAACTAATGTGGTAACTAAAACAGGAACCTATTACGGATAGTTGATGACCCTTACATGATCATTTTGGATAACTTTTGTTTTGTAAATATGAATGTCCCTGCAGGTTGAACAGGCATTTGGTTTAATGCTTCAAAAGTCACACTAGAATTGGCCCCCCTCCTCTCACCGTCAGCGGCCCATGAATATCATGGAAGCCCCTCCACCCCCATCACCCATCCTGCTGGGCAGGACCGGCAGCCCGGGCGGCCTGAGCCTCTGTGTGTCCTCTCAAGCTGTGAGTGAGGTCAAGCAGGACGGAAGGAAAAGGGTTTCCTCATTCAGTGATAAGAAATGACACACACAGGCGCGCAAACACAACAACACAAAGAGCTCGTTACGTCTTCTTGCATATGCACACACCAAGGTGGCTCTAAAGGTGACCCACATCGTACACATAAAGGCTGAGTGAGAGCTCTTTCGCCTCTCAGCTATGGCTGCAGTTAAATAAGAGAAAACAGAGGCCCATATATAAAGTGGCTGTCCTCTTTGTCTCACAGAACAAACATACCACATAAACAGACACATTAGCGAACACTGGTAAGCCCCCTGTCCGAAAACGGTACTAGATGAATTGCTGTAATGTCTCTCTTCTCTCTCCACCCTCGTTCTTCATCTCCCCCTCTTACTGACCTCTCTGAGACATGTAGGGATGCATGGGCGAAGATTTGAATGACAAATATTCAGCAAAGCCGACCATACCACAGCTTTTCAAGCAATTCATTAAGATTCACCACTTTCTATACCCCTAAATATCGCATCAGAGGACTGCTTCCGGTTCTCAAGGCCAGTTTTTCCCATCCATCAGGACACTTAAGAGCATGACTTCAGCTTCCTCTGAGAAAAACGAAGGACGTTTTTTTCCAGCTCTTTGTGTTTAATTTGACATTGAGCTCAAGTGTCATATGTTGTTCTGAGTTCCTTACAGCCACTGTCTTTGTCCTCAGACTGTCACTTACTGAGAAGTCCTGCAGAAGAAGTCTGTGAAAAGGACGAAGGTTCATCGCATTGCATGAAAATGCAATATTCTCTTCATCCTAGTTAGTTATTTTCTGATCTCAGTGTTTTTGCCTCTCCCTCTCAGGGTGATTTCACCTGGAGCAGCCTGTCGGGGCGGACAGTGCGGCTGACCCCAGTGGCCATCCAGAGCCTGTCGGAGCTGGAGAGGGCCAGGCTGCAGGACGTGGCCTTCACCCGCTTACTCCAGGACTATGACCTGGGATGTCAGATTACCATGCCAAAAGGTGGGAGTATCTGTTATTTTTTAAGGTTTTGTTATAGTGACAAAGTATTGGGCAGCGTTGCAAAACGTTTAAGTTTGCAACTGTCAAATGGAAGGGATTAGCTCTGAACATACAATGGTTAACATACGGTCTTTGAAATGCTTTAATTTATGTTAATGTTCACTGTGATAAAATGCCTATTTTTTGGCATCCAAATGTAATTTTCTTCCCTTAACCCTGGTTTACATTCTAAGTTTGTGCAGATACTTTTAAGTGTGCCATAAAACAAAGCTAACACTCACTCCTCTAACCACATCCTCTAGTCATCCCTCAAGTGTACTCTGAGGGAAGTCATGGTCTATGTTTGGGGAAGTTTTGACAACACATGAATTTAGATGTAAACCACACTTCACAGATGAATCGGGTGCATCCTGTTTGACATGGTATCTTTTGACCTTCCCTCACAGTGACACACGACTCCCTTTCCGCTGAAGCTGAGGCTGGGTGCAGTCACCCTACTTGACACCATGTTCATTAAAAGTCCTCTTTTGGGAAAAACTGGACTAAATTTGTCCTTTTTTGCCTAATAAGCTTGTTTTTCCCTATCAAGCCAAATAGTTAAGTTGTGAAACTTGTGGAAAACGCAAAAATTGGCACACAAACAGAGCACTGCAGAAACACTGCAGGATTCAGTGGTTTTCCACTGGGCTCGCCCATGCTAAAAATGTCAACATGCCTACAGTTTAGATAGATGGAAAAACACACTCAATTCAAAGCATAGGCTAAATATTACTTATTAATCTCATTCAAGTGCAAGTGAGTTAAACAAAAATATTTCTGTTATTAACAACACATTTAAAATATTGGACTTGAACAGTGCAGTACATCATTTTACTAAATCATCAACTGCTCGTGATATGCCTAATAACACAAATATGATTTTATTTAGCAGAAATAGATGAATAGATTACATGTTTACATGATTACATGTTTCAATATTTTCCCAAAAAACTAAACAAAAAAAAACACTTCAGTTTTTTCTCTTTCGGTGCCACATCTCACCCATTATCTGACTCCTTTAGCACAGACTTTTGGGTAAGATAGGCAAAAGCCACCTGTAACACTCATTAGCTTTTAGTACATTTTCACAAGTATGTTACAATTTCCGTTTAGTATCTCCTATTCATATACGTTGATAGAAATTTGAGAATGAGAACAGCAGCCCCACATATAATTCATATGAGAAACTGAGCTTTTGATTTGGTTACAACATCTTTTACTTTTTCAATGCTTCCTTTAACCATCACTTTGTTTTACTGTTTCAATTGTCTATGCTCCCTGAAATGACTATGCATAATAGCTGATTATAATCTAAAGACATAGCAGGTAAACCCACATTTTGATGAAAGTAGTCTGTCAGTATTTTTGGTTTTGTTCGTCCATGCTAACTCAGATGCAGAACATGCACCGTGAGCGGTGTGTGTGATGCACTGTATAGCAGTGGAGTGGGTGCCATAGCAGCAGTGTAGTGCAGCCAATGGATTATCCAGGGCCTTGCATTCCAGCTGAAGGTTAAACCTCTCCCCAGCATGATTTAATACATACTTGTCTGTGTTGCTTATGAATTCCAGAGGCCCTGATGGCTGCCATGTGCTAGCGAGGGAAATATTTCAAATGTGAAAGAGTGGATGCGTGTTTTACCGTTATTTTAGCCGTGCTAAATGAATTTTCCAAAGAAAATCTATATAAATTATTAATTTAAGTGTGCACAGGGAGCTTTCGGCTTTTATTCAAGAATGAAAAGCAGATTAAATAAGGACCTAATTAACAGAGATAAGAGAGTATCGAATGAGGGTGAGAGGAAAAGGAAAGGCAGAAATGGTTCATCAGATGTTGTCATAAACTGGTCAGAGAAGCTGAACTGCAGAGTCTGAAGGTTTGGGGAGATTTCCGAATGGCTTTGGGAGCCATCTGTCAAGAAGCCAAACCATTTCCTATCCCTCCTTCTCCTTTCCCTCTCTTTCCATTGCAACATCTGCTTTTCTTTCACCTTGGATCTTGCACAGAATCCACACTGTTTCTCCACCTATTTGTCTCTCGTGCACACCTAAGCGCATATCTCCTGTCCAGCAACAAACATTTTATGGCTCACAGACACAAATGCAACATAACGCAATCTCTTGCAATGCAATCACTGAATATCTGCAAAAAAAGGCAGCAACTTAAACTTTAACCTGCTCATTGAAGTGAGATCCTAACCCCACAAAGATTGAGAGGGGAATAAGATTTGCGCTGCCCCACAACTGACACTGATTCGATTCAAGTCAACTGAAACATCTGAGTTCACAGGGAAGTTGCAGAACCAGCACATTAAGACAAATATACAAGCTCAACCAGATCTGTGTGCAACAGTTGATTTTGGATGCCAAAGAAACAAATAGAATGAGAGTATGATAACACCAGAAACTGGTAAGTTCTCCAGAGGCTGACAATGAGGGGCACAGGACTTGAAAGTTGCATGTGCCTCTATTTTCTATTTTGTTAATCAGTAGATCCAAGAGCCATTCATCATGCTGAGAGCCGACAAAGTGGATTCCTCTCATTTACACTCAAATGCACTTGTGATTGCATACATTTTTTGCAATCAGTTTTTCATTAAATATTTTCTAGTGGATCAGGCATTTCTTCTCAGCTCTGCTTTCTTATGGCTTTACACTTATTTTTGTCAGGTTGAAGAGAAGACGTGAAGATCTTGAATGGAAATAAGGCTTACTGACGTCCAGTTTAAGCATTGAAATACAAAAGGACATTCTTAAAGCGTTACAATAATACAAGCAATACAATACACGACAATACAAGCAATGAAATGTGTCTTGATTGTTCTTTTCTGTGGTGATTGTTAACAAATCTGAACTGAGTGTTGAGTTAAACGGATTTTATTGACAACTTTCACCCTGTGGTTAATTTATGTCTGCATTCCTGACATATGCTTATTGAATTTGATAAGCCAGATAAGATGCTTCAGATATGGGAACCATTAGTTTCAGATGAATAATTACTTGTATTCTTTTTTTTCCCCCCTTCTGGCACAGATGGACAGAAGAGGAAAAAGTCACTGAGAAGGAAGCTGGACTCCCTAGCTAAAGAGAAGAGTAAGGACAAAGGTACACCATGACATGTCATTACATACCAAGAAAATTCAGTTTATAGGGTTTTGTCTCATTATTTCTATTTTTATTTCCTGTTTATTCATATAATTTAATGGTCTGTAAAGCCCCCTCCATCCTGCTCTCCTGCTAGTGAGTGAGGGGTCAGTTTGGATCTTCAAGCCCTAATGCGATGAACAGTGAGGTTACAAAAAATAGTTTCTGTACACTGGTTATAGCAGTTTATATTTAGCTTAAGTGGAATGACCCCTTGTAAGTAGACTGCTCCTCAGAGGCAGTCACAGTGCTGCACTTAGCAAATTCTGCTGATTCAGCAGATGGGGAAAATGATCCATGCCAGCAAAAGTCAAGTGACTTTCTAAATAAGAAAGATGGTTTCTTATTTAACTTTTAGTACGAGGAAGCTTATCCCAGGTTTTGTTTGGCTGACTGTCACTGAAATATAAATGAAACAAAGGCAAATCCCATTGTGACATTTAGCTTTGTCTTCTTTACTTGACAATGGAAAACTTAAACTTAAACCAGTGTTTTAGCTCCTTGTAGAACCACGTTTTGCAGCGGTGTATCAAATGAAGTGGTTTTCCATATAACGTTATCAGTCTCTCACATCACCTTGGAGGAATTTGGGCTACTATTCTTTCCGATTTTGCTTCAGATTGTTGCAGATTGTCACATTTGCTTATATGCAACTCTCTTAAGCATTTCTAACAGAATGCCGTCTGGACTTTGACAGGACCATTGTAGCATATTCTTTTTGTTTTAATTTAAGACATTTGCTGCTGTGTTTGGAGTAATCAGATAAAAAAATAAAAATAATTCTGTACATTTCATCATATAGCTCAGAGGATCTGCTTGTCAAACGCTTGTTTTCATCCAGCTTTGTCTTTATCATTCAGTCAATTAAGTAATTTAGTAAATTCAGGTTTTTGTCAGATGTGTCCACTTCTTTTATTTTAGGTTGTTATGATGATCAGGCCTCTGTTGCCCGGTATAAATATATTTTCATGGTACATTTAAGTTCTTGTTGATCATTTAGACTCCGAGGGTAAACTTAGTGTAGGGATATCTTTTTTTTCCTCCAGTGCATGCCTCACTTCCCCTCCAGAGCCTAGAAGGCTCAGATGTACCTGTGTTCTGAACAACAAAGGGATTGTAAGTTTAATTTTCTCCTGGGGTCACCAAATACCATACCTGTTTTCCACTTTGAAGTGGGCTCAGTCCTCTCTGCAAGAGAGGCACAGAGAGAAGAGGAAAATGCTGAGAAACTGGAGCTGTAGATCTGACTATCTATATGAGCTAAAATGGTTTAGAAGTTGCTTTATGAAATGCTAAAGGGTGAATTTTTGCCAGTTAAACAAATGATTAACTAATGAGGGGCAGATTCTTTTAGCACCTTTGTTCTATTTTGCTATGAGGTGATCTATATCTATCTGGATACATTAAAACAAGGCTCAAGTTATTTGCAACTTTTTTGAGGCATTGATATGTTTTATACATGGACAGAGAGCATAACCAGTACACATAATCTCACTAAGTGAACACAGATAAGAAGCAACATGTCCTAATAAGCTGTAGGCCTGGAAAGTGTAGATTTTGGAAATTCTGACACAGCTTGATAAATGCAGATCTGAAAAGGGGTGAGCAAGCAAAGCCCAATCCATCACACAAATCAAATTGAGTTTAGAAATGTGTTTGTGTGTGTGGTTATGTAAGCCGTGTTTGCACCATGAGGCTGTGGAGCAAATTCGTTGTGTCACAGTGTTAGTGGTCATGTTGTTCACAAACCACAGCCTTCCACTTGTGGTTGTGGAATTCATTTTGCCTTCCCTATCTCTCTATGCCTTTCTACACGCCGTCTCTCTCACATGCACACGCACACAAACGCTGCACAGCTTCATGTTTTTTCTCAAATGTTGGCTCAGGCTCTGGGATTGTGTATCATGGAATATATATCCTGTGATGGCCCAGCATGACATCATTCCTCTTCCAAAGGATCACATAATTCCTCATCTATCAGAGGTACCACTCATTAGTTGATTTAAGTTTTACCCTGAGTCTTGTGTAAACTTTAGCTTTTGGACCTGAGAAAATGTCTTTCCCGTCGCTTCCACTTCTCTCACTGTTTAGAATTAGGGAGGATTGAACAAAGGCTCTTATTTACACTTGTCCGTGCTGAACAGCTTCTAAAAATGACCTGCATTGAGAACATTACATTACTTGTGAGTGGGAGGCATCAAAGTTGGGTTATTTTGGTCAAATGCTGTAGAATTAGTGGGTTGTCACGGCCAGATGCTTGTTGCCTTTCTCTGTTATGTGTTATTTTGGAAAACAGACGTACTACTTTAGCTGTATGGTAAGAGTTTTGACTGACTGGTAAAGATACTTCATGATGCTTCCATGGCATCCATATAACAGCAAAACCTCAACATATGTGATTCATAGAGAGTTTCTGTTTTAACTACCGTTTTCCTTCCTCATTCTTAATTCTATTTGCTTCTTTTCAACCCTTAGAATACATGCCCCAGGCCTTCAGTATACCCCTCTCCCAGGTCATCGCCAACGACAGGACACACCGGCAGCGTCAGGATGGCTATCGTCAGGACCCTCCTCAGCGGGAGGAGCATAAAGACTCCTCCGATCTAGTCTCGTCCATTCTGCAGGTCTTTCAACACATCTACGTACCTCTTTCTGAATGTTGAACGCACAAATGTGCAAAAGTCTTAAGCTTTCCCTAATTTTTACGGCCTGCAAAATCAAACACTTCTATCTCCAACAAAGCCTGAAACCTCTAAACAAGCTTTTTGTAAAAAAAAAAAAAAAAACTACAGGAATAGTTCTCCAGGCATCTTGAAGGACATCCCAAAGTTTTTATTTTGATGCGGGCTGTCTTTTGTTCCGTTCTCTGTGAGATAATCCCATACTGCTTTAATAACGTTGAGCTCCTGGCTCTGGCTAAGATTGACCGCTCCATCAGACCTATTGCCACTGATTTTCAGTCCACTTGTGTCATTTGGCAGAGCTCAGCCTTTTCTCATTCTTTGCTCCCTGACTCATCTTTGTTTTTTTCTATTAAGGAAAATTACAACAAATTATATGCAACTGGAAGAAATTTATAGTTGGCTTCAGTGTGGCTCTAGACTTTCAAATACATGTATTTACTGTATATGATAAAACAATTTAAAGTAGTTGTATAAAGATATTTAAAAAATCTAAATCAGATTCTTATGTGTCCTGCAGTTTGCCACCAAACGACCATCCAACAAGGAGTTATCAAGCAGTAACTCCTCACTGAGTTCCACATCAGAGACTGCCAATGAATCCACATCCCCAAACACTCCTGAATCTGCACCGCGGACCCGCAGGAGGGTAAGGCAACACCTCCAAATTCATCCATGAATCACACACAGGTCTCAGGGGGCTCCTTTTTTTCACTCAGCCAATTTAGCTTGTATCCAATGCATGATTGCCTCCACAGGGAGGCATGTCAGTGGATTCCATCACAGACCTGGACGACAACCAGTCCCGCCTCCTGGAGGCATTGCAGCTCTCCCTGCCGGCCGAGACGCCCAGCAAAAAGGAAAAGCACCGGGACAAGAGGCTGAGCCTCAACCCCATCTACCGACAAGTGCCTCGGGTCGTGGACAGCTGCTGTCAGCACATCGAGAAATACGGTGAGCTGCTATTTAACCACTGTGACCCTTCCATATGTACCTCAGGTCTTCATCCTAAATTCACTGAGGTTGTTTCCATTATCCTCTCAGGTTTGCAGACAGTTGGAATCTTCAGAGTTGGAAGCTCTAAGAAGAGAGTCCGACAAGTGAGTATTCTATGTACTTTGTCCTAATTCATTAAATATGTCTTCATGTTGGTTACTCGGTTGGGTTGCTTTCAAACACATCAAGAATTTTGTAATCGTTTGCCCTGTGGATCACAAACACACATATCACCAGTGGATTAAAAATTGATCCAAAGATAGTTTGGAGGAAAGTGAAAATGTGAAATTCTCCTTCACACATTTCTCACCATCTATGATAGTCAACAGGAACAAACAAAGCTTCCTCTCTCAGACTAGTGTGTGATAATTAACATGCAAAACTGCAAAGTTCTGTTCAAGCATCCACAACTTCATCTGTTGCAGTTTTAATCCTTAATAAGTTACTGTTTACTGTTCATCACAAGCCTGAGATGATCATCAGATGACATGATCAGAATGTTGTTTTTTTTATCCTAGTTTATGAGATGTTAATCTGCACACTCAAGCACTGTTCATGACAACCACCTTTAGATAGAATACATACATCACATTCAGGTTTGTGAGCCTGGCCTGTAGTTAGAAACTTTATGTAATCAGCCTAAAAAAAAACATGGACTCGTTTTTAAGGTAGATCCAAATGATTTTGTCAAAGTATTATGTTATTTTTTAAATTGCTTGACTACTCCCTGTAGGGAGTTAGTCCTTTTCTGGCATTCTTTTTCTTATCAGTTTAACATCTGATAACACGGTGATTATTCTGCCAAAGCTTTGTTTTAGATCATATATTTTATAGATATTTATATTCTATTTTGGTAGTTACTCATGTTGTCTTGTTGTTTTTATTGTTGTTACTTTTAGTAGTACTCTTCCCTGTTCCTTATTCAAAATCATAATCTTGGCCTGAAAGATCTGTATGATTCTGTATGATCTGTACAATTCTCTGGTAGTAATTTAAAAGGTCAGATGGTCAAGATTATGACCCTTACTGGGGGAACTAGCTGGAATGCACAATCTCTCAGGTCACTTGGAGGACCGAATGGAAGGGATTGTTTGTGGGTGTGTGTGCTAAAAAGAATATAATGTCCATTGTTGTGTGTGAAGGATGTTTCTAAAGCCCCCTCTTCCTCTCTTTCTCCCTTGCCATTGCATTTCTTTGTGCCACGCCCTCAGCTGCGTGAGGAGTTTGACCGGGGTGTGGATGTTCAGCTGGATGAGGAGCACAGCGTTCATGATGTTGCAGCTCTGCTGAAAGAGTTCCTGAGGGACATGCCTGACCCTCTCCTGACTAAAGAGCTCTACACATCCTTCATCAACACCACATGTGAGAAGACATTTTCTGCCTCCTATCCTCGTTTGCATCTGCCCAGTGAAACTATTTCTTTTAAACGTTTCCATCCTGACCTGTGCTGCAGTGTTGGACTCAGATGAGCAGCAGAGCGTCACTCAGCTTCTGATCTACCTGCTCCCAGCATGCAACAGTGACACTCTCCACCGGCTGCTGGAGTTCCTGTCAACTGTGGCTGACCATGCACACAACCAACAAAGCAAAGATGGGCAGGAGGTGAGAAAGAAAGCAGGACTTAAAGAAAACATGTCCTACCAGCCTATGGGCAGCATTTTGCTTCTACCTCTTAGGGAGGACATTAACACAGAAGAAGTGCATAGAAGCACTTTGTGTGTCATCTTTTTATGCATATCTCAGGATAGAACTGTTCCAGTTTCTTTAAGCTGTTTTTGTGATGAGTTGTTTTGACTCTTTGATTGCACATAGGTTGAATTCATATCATTTAAGTCGGAGCAAAGAGCTGAACACATTAAAGCTTTGCTTTCCCAGGCTCCACCAGTCTGAACTATTTTGAGTAGGTCCATTGCATAAAATGTAAAACACTCTTTGTGTGTGTTGTTCAGCTGCAGATGTGAGGAACACCCTTTTACAGATGGAAATGTGTTTTGCTATCTTGGTGTGCTTTGGGCTTGCATAAGAATCAAGTCAAATATTGATGTGTGTAGTTTCCCTTTCACGGATTTATGGCCCCAGTATCTTCCACTGTGGCAGGAAGTCTGACTGTTTTAAACTCGTCTGGGAACGCTCATCAGTACTTTTTGGCTACTTGTGTTTCCCATCTCCCTGTTGGGACCGGGAGTGAAAAGGGAGTAAACTAAACAAGAAATAGAAAATGAATGTAGTTTTCACAATGTGTAAGAGCTTATGGTCTTAGTTGCTAAATGTGTCACATAATTGCACCATTACTCAACCTTAGATGAAAAAGAGGAAGCCATCGGACTCTTCAACCCTTCAACACAATGAGCAAAAACAGACAGGGAGTATGTGAAGAGATACCAAATGTGTATCAATCTGAAAGGATGGCATGGAGATGAACAGAGAGAACTGGAATGGAAAAGGGAAAAAATGAATCCAAAGATTGTGTAATCACAGAAATACACAATGATGTCATTTCTGCAGTCATTGTCAAGTATCTTTAGAAATTTCTCCTCATAAGGGAAGAAAACAGTTCCCGATAGCAGAAGAACCTGCAGGACATAACAGGAAAAGTATTCACTATAAGCTTCACTATAGTTTCCCAAATTCTGTTGATATATCAGGACTTTAATGCAGCATCAAAGTTGGGTTCGCCATGTCTGAACTTTTACTGGGCAAGCTGTCCACTTTAAAACACCGTATTTAATTTAGACTAACAGCATCTTTTTAGCTGCATCAAAGAAGTCAGAGATCTTTCTGGTAAAGTTAGGAAGTAGCATCTGCTAACTTTACAATGCTGATGACAGCTTAAAGAGCTAAAAACATCATCTACGAGTGAAAACTGAGAATATGCTGGATTTACTGTCACTGTTTTTTTTATTTGAATATCATGGCTGTCTTGACAATTCAAATAAAGAGGCCATCATATAGTTACGGTGGAAAAACAACTTATTTGTGCACAGTGGTTTCTCTTGGCAATTCTCTTGGGACACTTTTGCCATTATTTTGGTCACCATGAGCTCCACTGGGATGACTAATGGGTGAGGGAGAATTTCCCCAACAAACATGTACGTTACTGTGTCTGAATCCACATTTTAGATCACTGGGAACAAAATGACATCGTTAAACCTCGCAACGATCTTCGGGCCCAACCTGCTCCACAAACAGAAGAGCTCTGACAAGGAGTTCAGCGTCCAGAGCTCCGCCAGAGCTGAGGAGAGCACGGCCGTCATTGCTGTGTTGCAGAGAATGATTGCCAGCTATCAAACACTCTTCATGGTGAGTACCGGCTCAATGCACTCATTCAAGCTGTGCATCCTAAAAGTAAAACAACTCTTATTGAGTTAAAAGATTGTGGTTGTCTCAGTTTGAATCTGAACTGGTAGCAGGTACAAAGATCTAAAATTGCCTCCATAGGATCAAGAGCTTTTTCATTGATATACAAAAGCCTGTTCTCTCAAGCGTTGGAAACCATCTCCACTATAAAGGATTTACACAAAATCCCTCCTCATCAATTAACCTTTTCCTCTTTTCTAACTGACAACAATGATTGGGTTCTTGTACCTTCTGTGACAGTAAAATAAAAAAAGGCATTCATTCTTCGTTTCTAAGGAAACTCATGGCAAATAATTGAATGATTTTAAGGCCATTAAGTCCATTCAAATTCAAGCAAAGTGTTGTTTTTTTTGTAGGTGCCCCCAGATCTTCAAAATGAAGTTCTGATGAGCGTTCTTGAGACTGACCCAGATGTGGTTGATTACCTACTGCGGAGAAAAGCAGCACAGTGAGCTACATGCGAACCGTCATCTGGCTTCTTGTTTTTTTCTCACGAACTCCGTCTTCCAGACTGACTTTCGTGTTTCCGCAGAAGTCCGGATCTGTTGCAATCAGAGGAGCCTTTCAACCTGAGTGAGCGGCATTCATCCAGCGATTCCAACAAGGTGTCCAGTGGGGAGGTGTCCCCTTATGACAACAACTCCCCCGTCCTGAGCGAGCGCAAAGGAGAACCAAGCAGCCCGGGCAACCAACAGCACTTCCGTGTCCCAGAGGATTACTCTACGGTGGGGCAGGTGGCTGGCCTGAGCAGGGAGCCACTATGTGACACTTGGGGTTCCAAAGGTGAGTTTTGTATAGTCCTATGATTTATACCGATAGGTGGACACAAAATGTTATATTTTAGTCAATCAGATCATCAAGTAACAGTAGGATTTGCATCTTTCAGAGGAGCATGCTAACATTTGGGGCACATGGCACAGTACTCTCAAACCAGCACTCAAGAACAAAGCATATACAGGTAACTGATTTTAAGATCAGACTCTGCATATGGTACGCCATATGAGCTTTAGAAAAATGTGCTGGTTTTCATTATTCATTATCACGTTAGTAATTGCAAAATCTAAAATAGATCCTTTCGTTTTCAGTGGTGCTTGAAAGTGTATCCATTTCTACATTCAAACATTAACACATAACGGTTCATAAGTTCACCAAGAGGCCATTTCAAAGCAATTAAAGGCCGTTTTCCAGATGATTTTGTGCAAATCTTCACGACTTCAGAAGCATGGAATAAAATCATGAAATGCACTGCTTTGCAAAAAAGTCTTATTTCATCATTTTACTTTGTTTCAAAACGAAAAAGGATAATTATATTTTAACATTTTTCGATCTTGTGAAATCGACGGGGACTGGAGTTTTTTTTTACTGTCAAGCACCTCTCAGATATGTTTTCTTTAAAAAAATTTTTAATTTACATGAATTTATTCAATGGATGTTGTGATGGTGTTTTCTAGGTTCCCATGGCAACGTGTCAGAGGGAAGCTCCCGCAGTTCACAGGAAGGCCTTGATGGATTCCATGGTGACGCCAAGCCGCAGATAATGGTACAACGGACTCAGACAATGCCCGGCATCACAGAGATCAGGCCCCACCCACCGGTCACCCGCGTGTGTACCAGCCCTCATGTGGAGACAGGGCGAGCCCGCCTCCAACCAAACATCAACCCCGTTGTGACGCCACACCTCAATAGCACACAGGGCCTCCAGCGGGCAGGTGGACAAGGGCTTAACTCTTTCACCAGACCTCATGGTGAGGTGAACACAGGCCAGGGAGGCCCCACTATGCCCAACGACACCCGCTCTCCTCCCCCCTACAATGCCAATCACAGAGTTGCAGGCTCACAAACTAACCCTCAAACTGTGGCGTCTCAGAGGCCCAGCTCGGTGCAGGGTCACTCAGCCTCGTCCAGAGAGGCACAAACGATGCCGCAGAATCCAAACTGGCAGGACTGGCAGAGGGAACGATGGCAAATCTGGCAACTGCTGTCCTCGGACAATTCTGACACACTGCCTGAAACACTGGTGTGATCTCGATAAACTCCCGCTCAGTCCCGGTAGCTTCTGCTTTCTCAGTCAGCCTATGTTCAATCAAATCCATCCCTATGATGTCACCCCTCATTTCAATCACTGACTTCCCTCTGCCTTGCCTTTCTGTGCTCATCCTGCGTATTAGCGCCATGCCACGGTTGTTTACATTTGCAGCTGCAAATCTTTTTCACAGCAAAGCCACTATTATTTCTTTTGTGTGCATGGGCCCATATGTTTTGTCCATTTTGACATGTGACTTAGGAGCATTAAAAAATGCCCATCAGAAATACCTCAAAAAATAATCTTTAACGATATCACCATCCTCTTTTTTTATTACACATGTATTCACAAAGGAAGATTCTTTTTTTCTATATATTTTCATTTTAAAATGTCTAAATACACACTCTAAGGTGTACGCATTAGTAATTGCTGCTAAATGTTTTTTTTTTTTGCATGAATACTAAAAAATGTAATTCAGCCGCATCTTTCTAAAAAGAACGCTGGATTATGTTTCCACATCATATTACATTAACTAATTGTATATATGTTTATACTCTAATTGTTGACAAACATACACAAACATTACATGTAAATTGATATGTAAAATATATAATTTGCCTCAAAGTATCTACCTAAAACAAGTCAGTCACTAAACTGGCAATCTAGATGCTGATGACTCCTATTGTTTTTAATGTTGAATGTAACATGTTTCACTTTTTAATGGATGGAAGCTTGCTCATATGTGCACCTGCTACCTGCTGCTCTCCAGACACATTGTGCCAAGGCCTCTTTTCTTCACGACAGGATGTCGGTCATCAAGTACATTTATTTCTGGATAACAGCTAGATGTCGTGAGGATCAATTTTCTCAGCAACAATAGAAAATAAAGTAAAAAAAAATTTACATTGGTAAGTAATGCACATTTGAGAACTTTACGATGAATAACTCCCTCTAAGATCTTATGTAAAATAAGGTAAAAACAAACCAAGATGAACAGCTTCACAGGGTTGTATATTTGACCAAAAACTAAGCCAGTTCTGTTTCATTACCTATTTCAAGTCAAGCTTCAGCTGTGGAAAGCCATTTGTTCAGGTGCAGCTTTACAAACGTTCACAGAGAAGACGCTTTCTCCTGCAGCCTTTGTCAAAATAGGGCCCTCCATTCCCAGAAAGAGTTAAAGCTGTTTTGAACGTTTTCCAACTGTAATCTGTATCACCATGGAATGATGGACAGACTAAGATCACATCTAATTTAATCAAAACGCTTCTGATGATCAGCTCATCAAATGAGCTGCTACCTTCCACCTTACTTCTTATGGAAGGAGTTTTTTTTAGCCTCTGCTTCTTGAATATGGCTTAGTTTTGGTTAAATCAATAATCATGCAGTTGAATCAATGTTTTTCATCTGAGGTCTCTAAGACATTTTCTGGCAACTAATGCCAGTGATTGAATGACACAGTTTTTTATCAGAAATATGTTGGATTATTTTTTAAATATATAATTGTTGGAAAATTGTGTTCTGTCTTGTAAGGAGGAAAGGATTCTTTTCAGTAGGTATTTCCACCCTCGACCAACTCTTGCCAAATGTAACGTTCAAGTGGGTATTTGCTGGCAAATATTTCCCATTTTTTCCAGTTTAGATGTAATATTTGCTTATTTAAAGCATAAACCCTAGAAAAAATGGATGTTTAATTTAATTTCATCGACGTCAGAGTGCAAGACATGGCATACTTTGGCAATGGTTGCGCCGCCATCTAGTGTTAGGCAGCACGCGTTGGCAAAACCTAGTGTTTCCATGGTAACCCACCAAACAATCCCTGCACATTTCAGGTGGAAAATGAATTTTTCTTTGTGAGGAAATAATGTGCCATCCTGCTCTTAAAGCATGTGTCTTCACGCAGTGTTCAAAGTCCGTGTGTGCTTTTTTTTTCAATTTCCTGTGATGTCTGGAGTGTTGTAATATATTGATAAAATGTAACAATGTCAATATCAATTTTTATTCAAGGAGAAAAGAGATAAAGAGTAATCATTGTGGTTTCATTTTGCCCAGATCTTGTTGTTGATGTTTTTTGATGACATCACTGTAAAATTAGCAGTAATTTAGTGTTATTTTCTTCTCTCATCTTTTTAAAAATATTTTGGTGGGTTTTACTGGGTCCAAGTTGATATGAAATGTTTGGTATGCTTTTGTACTGAGTGCCGTCATCAATATATGCTCCAATGAAATTAAATCTGTGTAAAGTTTACATATAAGTCTGTCGCAGATTATAGTGCCATATGTTCTTTAAGACACCAATCCAATCACTATAACCTAAAATCAGAAAAAGATGGGACCATATTCTTTATTATTCCAAACTTTACCCTATATATTAGTATACATAATACATAATACATTTTAATGTATTCAGTTTGGGAATAGCAGTTACTTTCTGTTGTAGATTAAATGTTTAGACTTTCAACCATTTTTGGTCAATATTTACATGGACAAGCCATATGGTTGTGTTTTTTTGGAAGTTACAATTGCCTTTAAGGCCAAAAGTAGGCAGTTTCATTGCTGAGTGTGACATGAGGGGAAAACCTCATATCTGTCTGGAGGACAGCTTGAAATTCTTTGAAAGTTAGTGACTTACTGTTATTATTTTTTTGCTGTGTGTAATATCCCCTTAGTGGACCACTCAAGGATTCAGAGAGCTCTCCCTATTCCCCACACAAAGTGCATTTCCTAATCAGGTTTTGCTTTGATAAAAAATGAATGCAGCTTTACTCCTCAAAACGGTCGTCATTATGAATACATGAGGATTTGAAAAATTTAGAACTTTCTGAAGGTAAGTTTGCTTTTCAGTTGGTTTTCAGCTGTGGAAATTTGACTAGTCGTCGCTGAGTTACATTGAGGAATTGAGGATATAAAGTATAGTACCTCTGTATGTCAGCCTTATCTGCATTTTTGTGACAATTTTGTGTTCCGGGAGATGAAAGCAAACCGGGTCGCTCCGGAGTTATAGGTGCCATGAGATAGAAGGGCCATGAAAAACCTTCAAGCAGCCAGCAGAGCAGCACAAACAGCATTGTGAGCCAGGGAAAAGGAAAGAGATGTCATCCTTATGCGCACAGTCTTTGACAGCTGTGTCTCTCATTTGAAATATAAGGACACACAGCAGAGAGAGAAAACAACAGCTCAGTCACTTCACTAAAAAAAAATCAGGTTGAGCAGAGAGTTTCAAGGTCTTCTCTTTAAAAACAAGAGTAGTTTGACTACAAAGCTTCAACCCCACATAACTTTTAAAAAAGACATGTCTGATGGTGAGGCGTGAGCGATTTGATGAGTCACGTCCTAAAGCCTGGGCATGACACTCAGTTTTTCTGCATTTGTTCACAAGAAATCTGCCGGCTTACACAACTCATAGAAAATGCAGTGATAAGTCAGTCGAGGTCAGATACTCATAAAGCCAAGTCAGCATTTTCTATGAACACCATAGGAGCAAAAGAATAGAAGCCAATGAAGGAGAAGAATTGACTGGAACTCCCCCAAATTGTGCTTGTTGTTCCTCATATGGCCACTAGAGGTCAGTCATTAGCCTCGAATACATGTGATGTTGGTACAGCTTCCTCTCCTTCCTCATTTCACATATCACCCAATCAGAATATCAATGGATAGTTTAGAAAAAGAGCCAAACTGGTTTCCAATAACGATAAAAAGCAGGATCTGGGATCTAAAACCAAGTGAAACAAGGTCAAGATGTTGGTTTCAGTTGGCTTTGGCCCTTTCTGATAGCATATTGAATAATCCTACAAACCCCAAGAGAGGCTGAATTAACCTCAAGCAGATTTTGGCATATTGGAAAATGTAATGGATGAGCATAACTGCAAGGGGACAAATACAGAGAGGGTGTGTGTGACTGACAGATGGGCAGAAATCAATAATTGGGCTAGAAACAATGTGTAGTGAGAAGATGTAGTTTCCTTAACTTCTTTCAATGAACTCTGAGAATAATGAGGATAGGCTCAGCTTCTAAGGGGAGAAATTTCTGTGGAAACAAAGAGGTGTCCAATTTCCATTAATCTTGAACTCTATTTTCTTTCTTGCAGGCTTTCAAAAGTTCTGAACAGCTCTGGCTGGGTTTTAAAAATTAGGGAACTTTGCAGGGCCAGATTGGATTTGCCTCACTAAGAACAAGAACAACCTGAGGACTTTTTTTGTCTCGTTATTTATTTAAGGCATTTATCAGCTCTTTGTTAGCCACATCCTTTTACTGGCTCCTCTATTAACATGAGAAAATGCAACCTAATTACTGCGTCCACTGCTCAGCACGTAAAGCTTGGTTTTCGGAGCATGTGCAATTGATGTCTGAAATCAGCGCGCTGCGCTCTGCTCAGGAAGGCTCTGCTTAATTGTGATCAGTGTCGGCAGAGGAGCCGTTTGTTTCAGACACTGCACTCTGAGTGCTCGTCTTCTGTTTTTCTTTTGTCTCCTTTTTGTCGGTTTCTGGAAAGGAGCCGGGTTTTAAATAGAATTTTGTGGACCATGACAACAAAACAAAGCTGCTTTATTTCAGCAGCTAATGACTTGGCCCGGAGTAACGTTATCCAGTTGGCCCAGCTAAAAAACAATTTGCCAGAAAAATACACATGCACAAATAGGTATGCATGAACTCATCCTCACAGAGACACTTGTATTTGCCAGTACAAGAGCTCAACCCCGGAGGGAATTAAGAATTAACGCATGCTACAAAACAAAGCATGGTTTTCACTTTGTTTTATTACATTTTAGGAGGGTATGTTAGGTGGTGCATGTTTTGGGAGCCCAGTAATTTGGCCAGTGCGTGCTCACTACTTTTTCTTTGCCCACACATGCAGAAAAGACTGTCACACACACACACACGCACACACACACATCCTGAAAGGAATGTGCACCCACAAGGTCCTCATTAGCAGACACAGTTGGTTCATTCTCATCATGTGTTGCTTCATACGATCCAAAAAAACGACCCGAAGATAGAAAATGTTCCTGACCTAATTAAGCCCTTCTGAAAATCTCCACTGAATAAAAACACATCATGATACTGGACCCCAAAGATCATTATTCACAACTGCATCATGGTTGTCCTCATTCACCGATACATCAAGAATGCTCAAAAAGACGATCAGCCCCTATTAAAGATGTCCTATTAAACTGTCCAGTATGAAAATGTGCAAAACAGGTGACTTTCTGCCATATAAATGCTTCAGTTATGAGATGGTTATACTGTATGACTTCTTGATCTAAAAATAACCCAGAGCCAAAGACATGATGGTGTTCATTAGCTGCAGCTTTCTCCTTTCATAGGATCTTTCAGACTGGTCAGCGCTGCAGATTGTGTCCACTTTCTCATCAAATCACACCTGAAGGAACACGAAGGCGATGAGGTGTGTTATGTTGCTGGGGCTGGAATGCTTGTGCAGTTGACCTCAAGTCTCTCCGTTGTGATTATTCGGACGGTCGGTGCCTTCTGGACATTTGTCGGCTTTCTGTGCCTAAAAGTGTTGCTTTCACGATTTACGCCATGACATCAGGGCTGCACTGTCAACCACAAGCTACAGCCCTGTTCTCTGATCACACCCTTGCCAGATTTTATTAATTTTTCTGGATTGTTTGCCTCAGCATGGCTCTACAATTTTGGTGTCTTTTTCTGGTAAAAGATGAACAATAAAATCCCTGTGAGTTTTCATCTTTTGGATGTTAAAGACATGACAAAACGTCCATTAATCAGGGCCTGCACCTAAAAATGGAGACATGCTTTGCATGAGATAAATTCATCTTTATCTACAAACCTTTCACTGTAAGTTAGGCAAGTGAACAGACACAAATTTGATTCCTTAAATTGGCTCCCAAAATCTTTTTTCGCAATTATTACCAATGAAAGTCTACACTAAAAGCCATATAAAAAAACTTTTCATTCCAGCTATCACTTTTTCTTGTCTCCTTGTCCTCAGTAAACTTACTAATGGTCTTAAATTTATAAGTCCTACCTCCTGTCCCAACTTTGCGTCTTAAAAAGAAGAGTCCTGTCAGAAAATAATAAGGCTTAAAATCCATAAGGGTGTGATATGACAGTCACTGGGAGAACAGCTGAGTCCAAAAGCAGCCTGAGAAAAAGCAAACTTCATTTCTCTTATGTGTATCAAACCCTTCGTAAAGGCTTTATGAGCCCTTGTGGCCACCGGGGAGTTGCAGGGCGCTGCACAGGCGTTACTAACAGTATGCGTTCAAGAATGCAACGACTGTAGACGAGTGACAAGAGGACACTGTGTCCATCCATCCATGATGCTGATCTCTCCCAAGAGGCAAAGCTCCACAGGCATGATGAATGCATGTTCACACTCACACACAGATCGGGAAGTTGTGTTCAGTCCATTAATAATGGTGATATGTTGGAAAATTTGTTTTCAGATTGTTTGACCGTTAAAATACATTTTCTAATTAGCTCGCTTCACTGTTTTCTGTACTTGCATGAAAGGAAATATGCATTTGAGAAGAAGGGGCAATGACACCAGAAACAAGGGCAATACAGGTACAACTCAGTGCAGAGGTTAGCACAGTCTGCTAACAGATCAGGCAAATTAGTGGGAATTCTCTGAAAAATGTTATTGAAAAATATGCAAATACATGATAATTCATTGTGACATGATGAAGTTCCCAAGGCAAAATACATTTAATTTATGAAAGAATAATAAATATTCAGAACAGGTCACCACTACAGTTGGTGAAGACCTAAACCTAGACCTAAACACAGAACAAACATGCAGAATATTGTATGTTTGCAGCCGAGGGCTTTGTTTTTAAAAGGAAAAAGGAGTATTAAAACAAAAATCCGAGAACTATACTCCAAAAAAATGAAAAAAAAGGTCTGAGTCGTAATGGGAAACAGGGCAGACTGATAGAAATAGAAAACAAGGATCTGTCAAACAACTAAAGCCAAAGGCAACAGGCTGTAAACTAAGATGAGTGCTTTGGGGAGATGATGCACGTGAGTGATGAGAAACGGGGAACAGGGTTTGACATGGCAATCTAGAAATAAGACATAGGCAACTCAGGATAGCCTAGAGCCATAACAGTCAACAGAGTAAACTAAACTCAGAAACATGGACAGGAAACCAATCAGATTACACCAAAAAAACGCTATCACAACAAGAACTCAATGCCCAACAACAACCAAATGAAGACTGAAGGTTTATCCCTGCATACAGATAACAGAGGCAGAAAACATGCAGTGTGCACGCTGATGTGAAGGACATTGCTGTGACATCCTGCCATCCTTAAAGTCATTTCCCTCCAAATCCCGTAAAGCTGGGGGCTTCATACTGTAGATCTGGGTGTGAGA